CCCCCCCCCAAAAAAAAACATTGACCTGAACTTGGGAATAAAGATATTTTCATTTCTTAAAATCCTTGATTGACACCTTAAAAAGTTAATTCAGTATTCAGACTCACCATAAACATAATCCATAAGAGATTCTGAATGCAATATTTAATTTTCCATCAGACTAATGGATAAGAAAAAGGACACATAGAGATATGTAAGGGGAGACAACAGCAAGAAGAAATTTGAAAGAGTGCTGTAGAATCAAACAAATTACTGGCAGCAGTCATACTTTATTTCTGTTTTAATACCATATTGAATCCACACTGTACACTTACTAAGATACTGACAGTTGCACAAAAACCTGAACTAGAATATGTCAAATGCAAATAAATCTTCAGAGAAAAACCTTCTCTTTTATGAATGTTTCTTTCTTTGTTAAATGTTTGTTTGTAGAGTATTAGATGACTATACTTTGAAAAAAACATTTGAGCTGTGAGTGCTTTATACCAAGAAAAATACCACCTCAAAATAAAACACTCTTAAAATGCAAAGAGGGATAAAAGGTTATGGTTTCTAGCCCTCAGAATGTTTCCAGGTTTCATAAACATAACAGGAGTGTGTATCTGAGATTTGTTTCTTTTTCATATACCTGCCAGCCGTAATGGAATTCTTCTCTTATTTAAGGCTATGACCGCACAGAAGGCTGTTCCAGATTGACACAAACTTCTCTATCTCACACCCTGGTACTTAAATTGATGATGTTGTCCACACATAAATGTTTAATTGTCCTGAAAAATGTGTACCACCTGTCACTAGCTAATTTTCCCCTTTCTACCATTATTGCCACCCTTTTACCCACTCCTTTGCCAGTATTCAAGTTCTTTCTTTTAAAAAAACGTTTAGCAAGTGAAATAGTGCTAAGTTGACAAGACATGTGAAGCAGTTGAATCAATTTAATATATATAGCAATTATATATTCTATATAATATATATAGCTATAGCAATAAATTAGGAGACAAATGCTTTTAGAAGTACATTTTGCAAATAGTGTTGTAGTTCTAGTCTTTACTACGGTGAGCAAAAGGCAGGCAAAAGAAGTAGGATTCACCTCATACCTTGCATCATCAGTGATGTCATCTGGACATGTCCAGCAACTGTCTCATGACTGATATAGGTGATCACGCAAGCCAAAAGCAAGCCAAAATAATGTGGGCTGTTATGCTACAGAAAGCCCTGGTGGCTGAACAAAATACACTGTGTACTTACGACAAAAGACCAGCTCTATTTTTGATTAGTGCTGGTACTGTGTAGTCAACTGAATAAATATTGAAAGTAACACTGGGGAACTGAACACAAACAGAGAGAAAAGTACCCATCTAAGTCACTTCTTAAATTCCTGTGAACATTGCTGCTGTTTCTTCCTGTTGGGAAGCGTCGACCCAACATTGTCAGCCTGTTGTCACTCTCCTTTGTGATCTCAAGGCCGGTCAATGTGCTGCAGCAATTAGACATGTGGAATGCAGGCTAGGATGATTAGCTGCCAAATTAACCAAGTAAACTTGAGCCATGTTCACGCCTTCGCCCTTGCTTTCCTCACAGGGATACTGTGAGTATATGAGTGCTGTTAAGGGAGGATCGGGTCCTTGAAGGAAGAGAAGTATAAAAATGTAATACGTGTCCCAACGTATAGGTCCGAGCATGCACCTCTTTGTTTATCTGCTGTGGGTCTCTCTGTGAGTAGAAGAAGTGTGAATGCAAGAGTCAGATGGCAGGGGTGATCAACCACAAACTGAGAGCAGAATGTAGTAAATAAGAGAAAATAAAAAGGAGGGGGGAAGAGAAGAAAGAAGGAAAGGGGAATATGTATGATACCATCATGGATTAGTCGCATGAGTTGCTATAAGCTGACGATATTAAAAAAAACACACACTACTGGATAGCTCTGTGGTTTAGGTATCTGGTTGTGGAGCCAGAGGTTGGGAGTTTGATTCCCCGCTGTGTCTCCCTGATGGGGGGCTAGACTTGATGATTCATAGGGTCCCCTGCAATTCTAAGATTCTTACCTAAAGTTGTCATCTGTAGAGTATTGATTCACATGTAAGTAAAGCAGTTTATTTTCTGAGCATTAAATGATGGGTGGAAAGTATTTGTTTTTCTAATTTTGGCATATACTATATGTTTGTTCGCCACTATGAAAGTGCACAGGGATTCAACCACGGTGCCATTGCTTAAGATCCAAGTCACAAGAATATGGATTAAAAGTATATACGAGTATATAAATATCTTGCAATCAATATGCTGTAGCACATTTCCCCAGAAAACCAAGGTTTCATGTTGGGGAATCTTTATAGATGAGAATGTCTATGATTCATTTACTTCAAAATGTGTAACTCATTCCTCTGAATGGGATGCTGGGCTTTGACCCCATAATCATGCCCTCATGGGCCCTTTGGCCCTGAAAAGACCCAGGTTCAAACTTTTCCATGAAGTAGTCAGAATGCAATGCAAAATTCCAACTGCTTATTTCTCCCTATTTTCATCTGTACCTTTTCATATCAAGTCATTAAAACTTAGAATTTCAAACTGTGTAGCTTCCCAGTTATACAACATTTACACCTCTTTTAAATATATAGATACTAGCTGGATAGCTACATGAATTAGGTATTTGACTATGGAACCAGAGGTGGGGTTTTATTCCCCACTGTGCATCTCAAGAAAAGAGCCAGCCTGTGTGGCCCTGGGCAAGCTGCACAATCTTAAACTGCCCCCAGATGACTGCTGAGTACTCTATACCTAGAAAACCCTGGAAAGGGTCACTGTAACTCAGACTTGATGACACACTTCTTCTTCTTCTTCTTCTTCTTCTTCTTCTTCTTCTTCTTCTTCTTCTTCTTCTTCTTCTTCTTCTTCTTCTTCTTCTTCTTCTTCTTCTTCTTCTTCTTATTATTATTATTATTATTAACTCAATGCTGAACATTCACAGTGTTGCAGTTTTTTTAAAATGCATTGAAAGGAGTGCTGTTGGTAACCATCTGTTATCTCATGGTTTCCATCTGAAGGCTGTAGAAAAGTTTGCTCAACAGCCAAATGCTAATTCCGTTGCTATGTACACAAGAACTGGACAAGAAACACACATAAATAAAGGTAACTCCTTCCAAGGGTTTCTTCCATTGCAAATATGACTTGGGTGACTTACTTCGTTGTTGAATGCCACTTTTGCGTCATTGTACTTGGCAGTTGACTTGGCAACTTTAAAGCTGTGCCATGCAAAACGAATTGTTCAGATCTCTCCTTACCCTCTTTGGATGCTAAAATCTGTGCCTTTCTTCTCTGATCCATGCTTATTGGCCTCATAGAAGCTGAGGCTGTAAATCAGGTCACCTGTATTTTAACACAGTCTGACTGATTCAGAGAGGAGAGAGCTGCATCCTTAAGAACAAGGAAGAGGCCTGGGAAATATAAAAGAGGTCTCAGCTGGGGTAAACCACAGGGAATAAGATCTTTTTCATCTGAGGATTAAAAGCTATTTTATATCAAGAGGGGATGTAAGGTCTTGGAGACTAAATCCTTAGAAACTGTCAGAATTGCATTGGGGAGGAAAGCTGGGCTTTTTTTTTTTACCACAAAGCCATATGAATATATGCATATACTTTAGATAGCTATTTTTCTTACTAGGGTGCTAATCTGGTCCTAAGAAGCTCAGTCTTGAATGCAGACTCAAATAGCATAGTACTAATTAGCTGAATTCAGAAATGGTGCTGCTGGCTATAGAGAAAGTTGGTAACAAGTCATCTGAACAGCACAGTCTGATTGGAAAGGGGCATGGTTTCTTGTGAGCTGTTCTTTGTACAGGGTTTGGCTTGGCTAGAGGGAGCAACACTCAAATTCATTAGGTTTAAGAGAACCATAGGTGAACTGAAAACAAAGGTAACCATTGCCCTTTTATGCTTCTAATACATAAACTCAGGAGAAATAAAATTACAAAAGACCCATATTGTTCCTAGGCTTTAAGAAAGTTTTGAATGGCTTCCTTAGAATGATTGTTGTATCGTACTGGTACACTATGCTGAATAACTGAAGATAAATAAGATCACACTGTAAATGTTTATTGTTCTGTTTGGATTAAAAAAAAAACAGTGAGTGGAGGGGAAATAATAGCCATTGTTTTGCCAGCACTCCAAAGAGTTAGTGCACTTGTTCTTGAATAAGCTCATGCCAGCAGCACAAATCAAGTAATACTTTTAACAAATCAGACTTTGGGAGTGAGTAGTGGCGGCTGGATTAAGTCCTCATTGGGTTCTAGGGACAGGCAGTAATTTTGCATTTATACAGATGAAATTGCCCAACTTGTTCATCCATTTTTATTAATTATAGATTTTAAAAACCTGAAATACCATCTCTCTCATAAAAGTAGGAATAATGAATGTTATTTGTTTTATCCCCACATTGAATAATTTCAGAACTGACACTAAAATACGTATTTTAAAAATAATTATACTGTATTAGCTTTTGTGATTCAGAAGAGCAATGTTATATGAGTAGATTAATTGCCTTTAATATGTGTCTTCCATGATATATATCATACTGAGGTAAAATATGATTCACCACATAAATGTGAAATTGGGTATGATAGAGGAATAGCTAGGATAGTTGTATGGACATCAAAATGTCTGAGTAACATGAGAACATTCTCTCCTGTAGGTCCTCTGCATTGTGTCAGTCTTTCTCTTTCTGGGTGCCCTAGTAGCTCTTCTTTAGCATCTTGGAGGAGAGATGGAGTTGTTGCTAAGTCGTGTCCAACTCTTCGTGACCCCATGGACCAGAGCATACTGTCTTCCACTGCCTCCTGGAGTTTGGTCAAATTCATGCTGGTAGCTTCAATGAGTGGATGGAGTAGAATATGACAAATAAATAATCCAGTCAATTTGTTCTTTACAAAAATTTGAAGATTTCTGAGATTCTTTTCATATGTGCCTGCGTTTCAATTTGCAGATTAAACAAACTGGTTTCTGTTTGTTTAGGGAAGGACATTCAGCTCACTGGCTGCCATTGCTTGAACGATGATTGGTTGGTTCCTTTAGGAAACCGTCACCCCAAGCGTTTCACCCTTGATCATTGCCGCGATGAAGCTCAGAAAATTACTGACATGGGATTAAGGCAGTTCTTTCAGCATTGTGGAGGATCTCTTATGGTAATGTCATATCTTACAAGAATGTTCAGTTTGCTCTCACAGGTGTGGTAAAACTGAAAATTCTAAAGGCTTAAAAAAACAATTAGCCATTTATTTGTTGGAGAGTAAGCAACCAGAGTAAGCAGAAGAACAATGTTAACATCCAGCCATTTGAAGATATGTTTTATGTATGCAAATGAAAAAGAGAATAATCTTTATTTTGTAAATATTTGAATAGTTGATGTTCTACACTTACAGGGGAGTATCTTGTTATGAACACTGAGCCAAACTATCTTATGACAAACCAAATCACTTTGAAATGTCAGAATAGACTTTTTGCAGTGTATTTGTACTTATTGCAAATCGACCTCTTCAGTTTTCAACAATGGTGTCATCTGCATATCTTAAATTATTTCAGTTTTCAACAAATTGTGTCATCTGCATATCTTAAATTACTGATGTTTCTTCTACCAATTTTCACTTCACCTTCATCTTTGAACTTTATGTGGATCTCTTTTTTGCTTGTGTGAGATGTTTTACACTGTCACTTTACTGCAGTTCATTTATGATTTGGTTAGTGGAAAACTTAAATTTTCCATTTTCTTTGATGAAAATCGCTATATTTTAAAAAAACGAAAAAGTGCATTAAAAAGGACCACAAGAGGGAGCCCCTAATGCCAGAGAAAATAAAACATTATTTTCAGATGAACTCAAGAAAATATGCACACACTGTATTCCTAAATTAGAGTGAGCAGAGTTTTGTCTAATTCCCCATACATTTTAAACTTGCGCTGAGTATCTGACTTTAAAAGAGCTTCTTTTTAAAAATGATTTCCCTTCAACCAACCTGCTTTCTTCAAGGACAATATTAGGAACATGATGCGGGGGGCACTCATATGGGGAAGCAAGTTTGGACAATACGTTGAACTGGTCTTTGGAAATATCGAGTGCAGAATGGTCTGAGAACAATAAAAGTGCCCCCCTGTCCCCATCTTTCTCTCCCGTGAAATGAACTGTTCGTAACAAACGTATTAAATATATATATATTTTTGCAAAAACAATAAAAGGCTGGATAAGATATGAACATTTTGGTTAAATGTTAAAGGCAACATGGAAAGGAAGCCATACTAGTGTTCCATCTGCTCTGGAAAGCTCCGCTAGGAGTGACCAGTAGCTCAGTCATGCAACCAGTGTGAGAATGGTTGGGGAGGCTGCCAAAATGGGGAAACATTTGTGCAGTTTCCCTTCCACTTTGATTCTAGCCTTTACTTATTTATATTTTTTTACACAGTAGCCCACCCTCCACAGACTGTACCAGTGCATAGTAATGAGTCATAACTAAGTCACTACGATGGATAAAAGGATAGGTTTTATTATTTAATTTTATAAAAAGGGGTTTTCTTTACAAGAGCACCAATAAACTAGTCTGTTGTCACGAGTTCCAAAGTTAAATTAGTCGTATATTTATGCTCTTTTATAGGACATATAAAGCTACCTTGTGTTGAATTAGATTGCTGATTTCTATCCAGCCTAATATTGACAGTTCTGACCTGCAGAGCTGGGAGAGTATTTTCCTATCACATAGTATCTGAGTATACCTCTTAGTTTTATCAGAAGCTGAATATGGAAACCTCTCAATGCAGATCATTACCACAGTTCTACTGCTATTCCTCCCAGATATATGAGTGATAAAGACATAACTAAAGATGTTTTACAAATGTTGAAACTAAGGATGTGCACTGTCTTTAAAATGTGCAAAACCTGACCAAATTACCAGCAAATTCATCCTCTCTACCAGCCTCACTCCCAGCCCCATCAGGTGATAACCATTTTAATTTTCTTCAGTCAAGGGTATGGGGTTTCCAACTGAAATCTGAAAATGCACAAATAGCATCATGAAAACATACAAGGATTAGTTTTGACTGTTAGCATAGGGGCTCAATGTAGGTTGGACACACATCTATGTCCTTTTATTTGGGAGTGGACTGAGTCAGTGGGGTCATGCGCATCCACAGTTGAAACAATAACAAAAATACTTGGTTCTTGTCAGTGAGCACTGCAATTGCCTTTTTCTTTCTTTTGCACTCAGGAACTCAGCATAAAAAGCTGTAGTGGTCCTGGATTTAGGGGGGACATCATTCTACTTCATGCAAGTACCTTTTGCCATAACCTGACAACTATAGATGTAAGCTGGACTGGAGCTACGGATGCAGGACTCACTGCCCTAGTAAAAGCATCTAAAAGGTATCAGAAACAAAGATCTCAATGACTACTTTGGATTGTTGTTGTTATATGCCATCAAGTCAGAACCGACTTGTAGCAACCCTAATAGTGCTTTCAAGATAAGTGAGATATTTAAGGAATAGTTTTACTAGTTCCAATCCCCCAGTGAGTTTCCATGGCCATGTAGGGATTAGAACCCTGGTCTCCAGGTTCCTAGTCCATTACTCTATCCGCTACACCAGTGGTCCCCAACCTTGGGCCTTCAGATATTCTTGGACTACAACTCCCAGAAGCCTTTACCACCATTTCTGCTGGCCAGGATTTCTGGGAGTTGAAGTCCAAGAACATCTGGAGGCCCACGGTTGGGGACCACTGTGCTACACCACATTGGGTATTCCCCTTTGGATTGTATTTAGCATTATGTCACAGTTTTGCACAATTTGTAAAAAGCAGCTACTTAAATAAAAGGAAGAGACTGTTCGGGAATTATATGAGAGATAAAGAACTTGAAAAAAGAAGTCACAGTATGGAATGTTCTGATTTAGGATTCTATTCTATTCTGTTCTGTTCTATTCACTGTCAATATGTATACTCCAGTGATATTTCTCTACCTGGAACCCCCCCCCCAAAAGGTCACTGTAAGTTAGAACTGACCTGATAGCACGATTATTATTATTATACAGCAGAGAAAGAGAGCTCTTTACATTTGATAAAGACTGATATCAAATTATGGGAGTTAGGCTAAAATACTAGGCATGCTTACCTGGAATTAAATCCTAATGAAGATAGTGGGATTACTTTTGCATGACCTTATGTATGATTGTGCTGCCAATCTCTTCTGCTGTCTGATATATGTAATTGTCCAGTGTGTGTATTCAAAAAGATATATATTGTTATACTAGTCGGTGGGCAGACTTCAACATCAAGGTCATAAACAGGAGCCTTGGTGAAAAATAAATTCACTGGGGGTGGGGATGGTTGAGCTAGAGCTGAACATAAATAGCTCTGGGGCAAACTCAAGTACTTGTGGGCGTGCATGAGGTGTACATTGGAATAGTCTGCATATGGAAGCAGAAATCTGTAATTGGCTTCCTACAGATCAGGATTTCTAATGCAAAACTACAATAGTAGTGCAGTGAAATGCACAGAAATGCTAGTAAAATGTCTCGTGAAAGGTCAGAGACAGACGATCAGTACTCACACTTAATAGAGGTAGCACATGAAGGCTGAGAGATTAGTGACTAACAGAAGGTAAACCACAGCAAAGGATTTGTGTTACTTGTAATATTAACTTGCTTTGGGGAATTAGAACGCTTTCCTTATCTACCCTGAATTGCCCAGAAATCTGCTGGGAAATCCTGTTTCATCTCTTGCCCTGACCCCACCCCAGATTATACCATCCGTTCCACATTAGAAGGGTTTTCTTGCCCAGAAATGGAGTTTATGCAGAGAATGAACAACAACAGAAATAGACTTAAATTAACTAGGCCTACATAACTTGCCTAACGTGTATAACGTAATTAAGATAATTGTCCTGTGTTTTTAGTTTACAGTGTCTTTCCGCTAATGGATGCCTGTTAACTGATGATTCAGTGATAACCTTGGTTGAAAAGCATGGGAAGAGGTAATTCATATTCCAGCACAAATGGCAAACTCTAATGCAATAATTTAGTGCTTGTTGCATTATCGTATCACTGTATTTATTGATTTTTGCTTTGTATTTTGGTGTAGCAACAGCTCACATGACATTATCCCCAAAAAAGAGTTTAATTTCTACTAGAATTGCCCATGTATACTTGGCAATGGTACCGTGTGATCTGGAAATCAAAGCCATTAAATGCAAAGATGTGACTCTTTCAGTGATCACTTAGTGGTGCAAGAAGAATGGAGCTGTGCTTTGCAGCCCGGGGTGCTGTTGTAGTTTCTAGTCCATTGTGCAAAATGAAACTGGGGCGCTGTTGTAGCAAACTGAGCTGCGCTTTGTAAACCCACGTAGTGCAGTGGTTAAATAGGTGGACTGGAACTTAGATCTAGTTTCTAGTCCATTGTGCAAAATGAAACTCACTGGATGATCTTTGGCTTGTCTCTCTCTCTCTCAGATGAATTGGTAGGACTGTTGTGAAGATAAAGTGGAGAGAAAAAGAGTAATGCTTGCTACCTTAAAGTCATCAGGGAAAGGTGGGACATAAATGTAAATAATAAATAAATGCAAAAAGAATTGCATATCTGTAAGCTATTTCAGTGGGTATACTTATGCATAGAACTGAAATGTGACATGCATGGGATTGCGCTGTGCTCTGTATGCTTGGTAGGAAAACCTTTAAATGGGTAAGAGCTGCATCTGGTGCTTCATGCTTTGTTGCCGTCCTACCATCCGGAATATGGTCCTTAAGACTCTTCTCAAATTGGAATTTTATTCCTCAGTTAAGAAAAGTTCACCAGTCCCACTGTGTAGATATCATACATCATTAATATTAATAGCGTTTTCTATTTCTATGCATTTGTCTGATCTGTTTTCAATGCTAACTCAGGTATTGACCCATTATCACATCTCAAAGCACTGCATTCTTTGTAAGCCTGTGTTTTTCTGCATGGGGAATGTCCCTGTGTTTTTTTCTGCATGGGAAATGCTCCTCTTATCCACCCACCCTGAAGATTAAGTATATGATGCACCCATGTAGAACTGATTTTATTTAAAATCAAGAACTGATTTTATTTAAATCAGTAAAGATAAATAAATAAAGAACAATACATAAATTACAAATTTAAGAAAAAACCATTATAACACAAAGCAAAAGCAACTTAAGTTATACAGTTACATAAACAGTGCGCTCCTCCGCCAGGGCCATTGGAGCAATATCAATTACCGTGGTGCCCCGCATAGCGACGATAATCCATTCCGGATAAATCGTCGCTATCCGGAAACGTCGCTATGCAGGGGGAAAACCCCATAGGAACGCATTAAACCCTGTTTAATGCGTTCCTATGGGGGAAAAACTCACCGCTATGCAAAAATTCCCCATACGGCCGCCATTTTCGCCGCCTCGGTAAGCAAGGGCAGGACGCAAAAACACTGCGGGCGGCCATTTTCTTCATCCGGCGGCCATTTTGGAACCGCCGATCAGCTGTTGGGGAAACATCGCAATGCGAAGATCGGTAAGCGAAACGCTTACTGATCATCGCAATGCGATTTTTGCCCATTCAAAACGTCACAATGTGATCGCTTTGCGATCGCTAAATCTGCATTGCTATGCGGATTCGTCGTTAAACGGGGTGCTCGCTATGCGAGGCACCACTGTATTTATTTAGGAAGGCTCACTTTCCTTCCAAAGCTGTATTGAATTTTGTGAATGTACAAAACCCTTCCCTTTTATTAATACATAACCAACAAAGGATCCTCAAATATCGTTAAAGTTATTCTTACGTATCAACCCCCTTTGCCACCTTAATATGACAAGTCATCATTAATAGCTATATTCCAGATATCTGTATATCATTCATTTAATTGAAATTCATATTTTACTTTTCAGTTCTTTGCTATCATTGATCTTACAGCTGTTACTACAATTGTTATTAATTCTTTATCAGTCCATCCCCATTGTTCTCTATCAAACATTGACAATAATGCCATATCAGGGTTTATTCCCACATAAAATGTCAGCATTTTGATAATTTCTTTGAAAATCCATTTCCAACAATGCATTATATTGTCACATTTCCATCACATATAGAAATAATACCTACTTCCCCACCACATCTCGAACATACATTAGAATATTTACCCATATTTTTCAGATGCTAGACCCCATACTACTTAATTTTTTTCTTTTATTCTTACCAATATAATGTGTATTTTAATATTCTCTTATCACATGAATTTTTCTGCTGTTCATTACTTATATGCCTTCCTAAATCTTTTTCCCATTACACATTCATATTGATCCTCCATTTCTAATAATATCTTATACATTTTACTTATTATTCCCCTCATCTACATTATAGCTTGTTCTTCCTTTTGTATTACTATCTCTTCAAATTTCATATAATCTCTATATTTATCATTTTTCTCTATATATACCCATTGTTCTAACTGGGCTAAACTAAGCTAAATTGTTCCCTTTCTAATACTACCTTTATCTTTTCCCGATTATTCATCTTTTTGCTCAAAAACTTGTTTGTTCTTCAACATTTGCTGGAAACCTCTTTAATTCTGTAAATGGTAAAATTGGTGGCATTAATATTTTCCTATATTTATTCCAAATATGTAGTATATACATCAGAAAAGAGTTTCCATCATTTTTAGAATACTCATACTGTATTATCTTTTTTTAAATTTTAACAAAGATCTCTTGACTTGTTGAAACTTTAATTTTACCCATATTAAATTATAGCATCTGGTATCTATGTCATTAGACTTGCTTTGTTGTTGTTGTTGTTGTTGTTGTTTAGTTGTGTCCGACTCTTCGTGACCCCATGGACCAGAGCATGCCAGGCCCTCCTGTCTTCCACTGCCTCCCGGAGTTGGGTCAAATTCATGTTGATTGCTTCGATGACAGTGTCCAACCATCTCATCCTCTGTCATTCCCTTCTCCTCCTGCCTTCACACTTCCCTAACATCAGGGTCTTTTCTAGGGAGTCTTCTCTTCTCATGAGATGGTCAAAGTATTGGAGCCTCAGCTTCAGGATCTGTCCTTCCAGTGAGCACTCAGGCTTGATTTCCTTTAGAATTGATAAGTTTGTTCTCCTTGCAGTCCAGGGGACTCTCAAGAGCCTCCTCCAAGTCAAAAGCGTCAGTTCTTTGGCGGCCAGCTTTCTTTATGGTCCAGCTCTCACTTCCGTACATCACTACAGGAAAAACCATAGCTTTGACTATGTGGACTTTTGTCGGCAAGGTGATGTCTCTGCTTTTTAAGATGCTGTCAAGGTTTGTCATCGCTTGTATTTTATATTTGGAATATCTAATCCTCCTGTTTTTTGTGATTGATATAATCTTTTTAAAATTAATCCTCACAAACTATATTAATCATGTATTCGTGAAGGTTTTCATGGCCGGGATCTAATGGTTGTTGTGGGTTTTTTGGGCTCTTTAGCCATGTTCTGAAGGTTGTTCTTTCTAACGTTTA